TGCCCCCACCCCCAATAGCTAGCAATCCAAAACAGTCCAGTGGAGCCTGAGCGGTGGGTGTTGCCTTCTGACACACTTCCGGTGATGTCAGGGGGTGTGGCATATGCTAATGAGATATGCTAATGAGCTCCTTCACCTCTTTTTCTATGAAATGACCCCTGGTCTGTATCCTTCTTAAACTGTGGTGCCCAAAACTGAACACAATACTCTAGGTGAGGTCTAACCAGAGCAGAGTAAAGCGGTACCATCACTTTGTGTGATCTGGACGCTATACTTCTGTTGATACAGCCCAAAATGGCATTTGCCTTTTTAGCTTCCACATCACACTGCTGACTCATGTTCAGTATATGGTCTGCTAAGACCCCTAGATCCTTTTCGCACATACTACTGTCAAGACGAGTCCCCCCAATCTCATAATTATGCATGTGATTTTTCCTACCAAAATGCAGAACTTTTACATTTATCTCCGTTGAAATTCATTTTATGCTATAGCCCAGTTTTCCCGCCTGTCAAGATCATCCTGTATCCTGCCTCTGTCTTCTACTCAATTTCTTTCCCATTCATTCATTCATTCATTCATTCATTCATTCATTGATATTCCAGTTTTCTCCCCACCGAAGCTACTTACAACAGAATGAAAAAACACCAAGTAAGACCCCTTGTCTCATAATCACTTCTTAACCCAAAGGAGACGACATCAGAATGATTTCTTACCTTAACGTATTCACTGCCAGATTCCAGTCCATCCTGGTTCCTGTGGGGGGAAACCCAATGCCATTAATGAGCAGGTAGGTAGTAAAGTGTATGCAACAAGGACCCCCCCTTTTCCTGCCTCCCACCCCAGTCATTCATCCGCCAGACATCAAAGAATCCCTGTGGTGGATACTGGCTGGTGCAAACATCCCTTAGGCAGCATTCTCGTGTACAAATGCAGTTGTTTTAGGTATCAGTACTGCAGGCTGTGGAAGGGCAGTAGTTCAGCAGTTCGAGACCCGGGTGCCGCATGACGGAGTGAGCTCCCATCTCTAGTTCCAGCTCCTGCCAACCTAGCAGTTCGAAAGCAAGAAATTGCAAGTAGATAAATAGGGACCACTTCGGTGGGAAGGTAACAGCGTTCCTTGGTGTTTAGTCATGCCGGCCACATGACCACGGAAACATCTTCGGACAGCGCTGGCTCTTTGGCTTTGAAACGGAGATGAGCACCGCAACCCTAGAGTCGGACTCGACTGGCTTTCGAGCAAGGGAAACCTTTACCTTTTTACTATCAACTATCTTATCCCATCTTTCCTCCAAGGAGCTCAGGGCAGCACACATCTTCTTCCTTCCCTGTTTTATCTTCACAACAACCCTGTGAGGTAGGTTAAGCAGAGAGAGAGAGTGCTTGGAATAAGGTCTCTCGATGAACTTTATGGCTGAATGGAGGGGAGGTTGAACCTGTGTCTCTGAGCCCCTAGGCTTACATTTTAACCAGTATCCTACATTGGCTCATAAACGGAAAGTGATATGTCTTAAGGATAAATCAATATTTTATAACCCCATAAAATATCCAGTGCAATAATGAATAATGATTCTGAATCAACAAACTTCGTAGGAGGAAAATTCCACAGCCTTCCAATAAAAGCAACATCTCCTATTTAATCCTGACCAGCAAAATGATGAGTTTTGCAACCCCATCGAAATCAGATCTATGCTTTTTTGATCATAATGTCAAACAGAACTGGGTACTGCTGGAAGAGTTGTGAAAGTATGCATCGGAGTACACAGACTGAATACATTAAATGGCAAGGTATTCTGCACATGCTCTCAGACAGTAGGAAAGAGGAAGAGTCCAGGAGCACCTTAAAGACTAACAAAATTTGTGGCAGGGGAGGAGCTTTCGTTGAAAGCTCATACCCTGCCTTCATGAGCCCTGACTCACGAAAGCTCCTCCCCTGCCACACCTTTTGTTAGTCTTTAAGGTGCTGTTGGACTCTTCCTCTTTTCTACTGCTACAGACAGGGGTCCTTTCCTGTAGGAGCGGACAGGAGCGGAGCTCCGGCAGTAAAGATCCCAGCGGGCGGGCACATGCAACAAGCCCCACCCCCTGCTCCCAGGAGCCCTCAGTCAGAGCAAGAAGCAGCCAGGTAAGTTGCAGAGGCCTCCCCAGTCCAAAACAGTCCAGTGGCACCTTTAAGACCAAGTTTTATTCAGGTACAAGCTCTCCCTCCTCTGTGAGGACAGATCTGCACGTTCCCCCCCCCAATAGTTAGCAATCCAAAAGAGTCCAGTGGAGCCTGAGTGGTGGGTGTTGCCTTCTGACACACTTCCGGTGATGTCAGGGGGTGTGGCATATGCAAATAAGTTATGCTAATGAGCTCCTGCACCTCTTTTTCTACGAAATGACCCCTGGCTACAGACAAACACATCCGCCCATCTTGATCTATCTGGAGAAGTGAGCAGTGACTCATGACGGCTCCCTCCCTGCCACAAATGCTGTTAGTTTTTAAGGTGTTCCTGGCCTCTGGCTCTTTCCTGTTGCTACAGGCAGACTAACGGGGCTACCCATCTTGATGCTTTAAGACAGACCCTTGATGGGAGGAGCACTTGGGACATTTCTGTTGTTATCTTTACTTCATGTATACCCATTGTGGACCCAAAGTGGCCAACGTGGTTCTCCTTCCCTCCATTTAATCCTCACCAGGGGTCATTTCGTAGAAAAAGAGGTGCAGGAGCTCATTAGCATAACTCATTAGCATAACTTATTTGCATATGCCACACCCCCTGACATCACCGGAAGTGTGTCAGAAGGCTCAGGCTCCACTGGACTGTTTAGGATTGCTAGCTATTGGGGGGGGGGACATGCAGATCTGTCCTCGCAGAGGAGGGAGAGCTTGTACCTGAATAAAACTTGGCCTTAAAGGTGCCACTGGACTGTTTTGGACCGGGGGGCTGGGGGGAGCTCTGCAACTTACCTGGCTGCTTCTTGCTCTAATTGAGGGCTGCTGGGAGCAAGGGGTGGGGCTTGTTGCATGTGCCCCGCCCCCCGGGCTCTTTACTGCCGGAGCTCCGCTCCTGTGCGCTCCTGCAGGAAATGACCCCTGATCCTCACAACCACCCTGTGAGGGAGGCTACGCTGAGAGAATGTGGCTGGCCCAAGGTCACCTAGTCAGAATCCGTGGCAGAGTGGGGACTTGAACCTGGGTCTCCCAGATCTTTGCCTGGCAGTCTAACCGTTACACCCCACTGGCACAAGGATGCCTATCAAAAGTCATTCCATACAGGGATGCTTTCCTTCAGAAGTCCTCCTGTTGCCGTGGCTACTTGGCTGTTATCAGGGGCTAAATGGAGCACACATGTTGCTCCCGTCCTGCAGGCTTTTCGCTGGCTGCCCCATCAGTTCCTGGGCTCCATGTAAGGTGTTGGCTGTCACATACAAAGATCCGCATGGCCCTGGCCCCTCATATCTGCAGGACGACCTCTCCCCCTATTCTTTGCCAGGACAGCCTTCACTCAACAGAGCAGGCTCTTTGGCAGGTAAAGGGTTTCCCTTGCTCGAAAGCCAGTCGAATCCGACTCTGGGGTTGCGGTGCTCATCTCCATTTCCAAGCCAAAGAGCCAGTGCTGTCTGAAGACATTTTCCATGGTCATGTGGCCGGCATGACTAGACGCCGAGGCGCACGGAACGCTGTTACCTTCCCACCGAAGCGGTACCTATTAATCTACTTGCAATTTCTTGCTTTCGAACTGCTAGGTTGGCAGGAGCTGGGGCCAGAGACAGGAGCTCGCTCCGTCACGCGGCACTTGGGTCTCGAACTGCTGAAATACAGACCTTCTGGTCTGCAGCTCAGCGTCTTAACCACTGAGCCACCGCGGCCCCCCTTTGGCAGGTGCCAACCCACAAATGGACAAAATCAACAGCTGCTCATAGATGTGCTTTTCCTACTGTGGCCCCCACCTTACGGAACGGCCTGCCTGAGAGAGGTCAGGTGGGCTCCCAGACCCGTGGCTTTCTGCAAATTATGCAAAACCAAATTATTCAGGAGGGCTTTTCGATGAGACAATGGAGCTGCACTGCAATAAAGTCACTGGGATAAATTATTAGGGATTGTGGTCTGTACAACTGTGTGCAGCTTGATGAAACGAGGATCCCACAATGTAGTCTTTGCATCTTTTAATGTGTCACGTCAATACTTATGCTTTGCTTCGGTTCAGTTTTTAGACTTTGGGTTTGGTTCTACCACCCTGATCCTGTTTCATTGTTTACTGGCTGTCCCATCCTGTAAATTGAATTGACTCACTTTGTGTAATCCACCTCGAGTCCAAGTAAAAAAAGGCGCATTACAAATAATGTAAAAAAAACAAAACCCACCCACATTTTCTCCCTGCAGTTCCCTCCCGGCACCACCAGAGGGCTTTTTGATGACACCCCCACCCCCACCAACGACATATATACCATTCTATCAGTAGCAACAAGAAGCAACAGTCAGAACCGGATATGGAACAACTGATTGGTTTAGCATAGGAAAAGGAGTACGACAAGGATGTATATTGTCACCTTGCTTATTTAATATATATGCAGAGTACATCATGCGAAATGCTGGCCTGGATGAATCACAAGCGGGAATTAAGATTGCTGGGGAAAAGATCAACAACCTCAGATATGCAGATGATACCACTCTAATGGCTGAAAGTGAAGAGGACCTAAAGAGCCTCTTGCTCAGGGTAAAAGAGGAGAGTGCAAAAGTGGGCTTGAAGCTCAACATCAAAAAAACTAAGATCATGGCATCCGGCCCCATCACTCCTTGGCAAATAGAAGGGGAAGTCGTGGAAGTAGTGACAGACTTCACATTCATGGGATCCCAGATCACCGCAGACTGTGACAGTAGCTATGAAATTAAAAGACGCCTGCTCCTTGGGAGGAAAGCGATGGCGAACCTAAACAGCATGATAAAAAGTAGAGACATCACCCTGCCAACAAAAGTCCGCATGGTCAAAGCAATAGTATTCCCAGTAGCCATGTATGGCTGCGAGAGTTGGACTATAAGGAAGGCCGAGCGCCGAAGAATAGATTCTTTTGAACTATGGTGCTGGAGAAGACTCTTGAGAGTCCCTTGGACTGCAAGAAGATCAAATCAGTCAATCCTAAAAGAAATCAACCCTGACTGTTCCCTGGAAGGCCAGATAATGAAACTGAAGCTCAAATACTTTGGCCACCCAATGAGAAGGGAGCACTCACTGGAGAAGACCCTGATGCTGGGAAAGACTGAAGGTCAAAGAAGACGGGGACGGCAAAGGATGAGATGGTTGGACATTGTCATCGATGCAACGAACATGAAATTGAGCCAACTTCAGAGGACGGCGGAAGACAGGAAGGCCTGGCGGGAGCTGGTCCATGGGGTCGCGAAGAGTCAGACTCGACTGTGCAACTGAACAACAACAAAAATCAGTAGTAGACACATATCTGGAGCTTGAGGGTGGGAGAAGGACCATAATTCAGCGGCAGAACACATGGTTTCCATGTATAATTTCACACACAGGCCCAATTTACAGCTAAGAAGGATGTCAGCAAGCCAGATCTCTGCCTGGGACCACCATTGTTGCCTCTTGGAACATAAAGCAATCGGCCAGAAGGACCAATGGGCTGATGCAAGCTATGGCCGCACGGCACAGCTCAGTGACAGGGCACATAGGGAACATGCACAGAGTTGCCAACCTCCAGGTGGTGGCTGGAGACCTCCAGCTATTACAACCTGTAATACAAACCTGTAATGAACT